GGGTCTCAGGTTTGATTCCAGTCAGGGGCACATGCCCAGGTTGCAGGCTCCCAGCCCTAGTTGGGGGCATGTGGGAGGCAACCAGTCGATGTGTCTCTCTCATCATTGATGTTTCTATCTCTCTCTCCCTTTCCCTTTCACTCTATCTAAAAATCAATGGGAAAAATATCCTTGGTGAGGATTAAAAAAAAAAAAAGAAAAGAAATGGAGACACAGAGGTGAATTAATTTGCTTGAGATGACTTATCTAGTAAAAGTGGTGGAGAAGAATTTGAGTCAGGTAGTCTGGCTCCAAGTCTATGCTTTTAACTCTGCTCTATTCCTTCTCAATAGTTATTCCACTTCTAGGAAGGTCAGAGCATGGGGCCATCTTTTAAGGTTCCTGATACATATTGCTAGTTGCCTCTAGAAAGGACATTCCCATAAGTTGTATTTGTGTATTTGGTTATTTTCATTGAAAAAAGTAATTTTTTAAATTATGAAAGCAATGTGTGTTCATGATAAAACAATTCAAATAATACAGAAATGTGTATGGTATGAATTGAATCCCTTTTTCTCCTCTCCCCCTCACTCTATGATAACCATTGTTAATATTTTCTTGTATATGTTTCTAGAAATTTCCTGTGATACACATGTGCATACATAAGTATATGTATATAATATATTTTTCTCCCTAAATAAATGGGATCATAGAGAAGCTAAATTCTTTTAACTTCCCTATAATCTCTTATTCTGCAGATAACCATTGTAAGTAGTTTCTTATATATTCTAGAAATTTTCAATTCTATATAAGTGCATGTACACACACACACATACACACACCTACCCAAAATTTTCTTCCTTCAAAAATGGGATCATACATTCATATTATTTCAGAACTTGTTTTTTTCCCACTTAATTTTGCATCTTGGTTATCTTTCTATATTAGTATATAATACATGCATCATTCTTTTTAATGCCACTTGGTATACTTTTAAAAAGTTATTACCTGCATCTGAGTTACGTGGTTCCACCTGATTGATGTAGCACTGTTGGAGCCAGAGGGAGCCCAAATGCTGCTTTTCATGGTCATTATCGAACAGGAATGTGTTTAATGAGGAAGATTGAAGAGTTTGGAGGGAGAGAGAGAGACAGTCACTTCCTGTTTTAGTGGCTTGCCCTTGGGCTTCCTGATTAATCCCGCTGACCTGCCACATTGTGGTCCAGGCCAGGTGCCTCTTTTGCAGCTGGGTTATTTCCCACCTCCTGACTACTCACTCCTTTGTGCAGGTTCTATAGTAGCAACAGGCCAGATACCTACAAGCAGAGCATACCTGAGTAAGCAGGGGAATCTTTTTAAAGAAAAGAGATGCTCAGATCCCTATTGAGTAAGGGAATTTAATATTGAATTAACTATGTTGTCTGTATTACAGTTCTTAATAATTGAATCATTTTAAAGTTGAATTTGTATAGGTTTTATTTAATGCCTCTTTTAGCCTCCGATATTTAAATGTAGAAACTCTGACTTTTATCACATCAGGATGCATTTAAGTATAAAGTTATTATATTCCATTGGGGGTGGCATCATTGATTGCATAAGAGTCCATTTTGAATCAGAACATTCACTGCCAGCCCTTGATGACTGGGGCTAACCTTTCAGGTTCAGTAGAAAGAGCCACACTGTTGCCAGGACAACTAAAGTTCAAGATCACCTGGTCTCCAGGCAACCTTTTCCAGACCTACCTCAAATGCTTTCCCAAGCTTTTTCAGGGGAGTTCCTTCCCTGCCTTTCTCTCACAGCTTTGGGACCTCAGAAGGAGGAGAGCCCAAGATCCCTGGAATGATGTGAGGTTTGGAATTTTTGAAAGACAAAGTCTATGGATTAGGTGGTAGTATCTTTACTGGAAAGTAACAATCAGGAAGGAGGACAGCTTCTCCTTACCCTTGTATCCAAAACACACTAACCTCAGATTTTTTAAAAGCAGTTACTGAATATTCCCATACTCTTGACTCATGTGAAGTCCTCCTGAAGCTTGTCATGGTCTGACTCATTATTCCAGTGACTTGTGAGGGAAGTACCATGCTTTTCGTGTGTCCGAGCATTTCAGAGGATGGGTGACCAGCATATGAAGTGCAGCGGCTGGTTAGACGAGGAGTTCTCTTTCTGATGTCATAAGAGGGTACTGTTGCCTTGGCCAACATAAGCTCACAGTTGATTTGTTTGGGGCAGGCAGTGATGGAGGTTCTATGGGCACATGTACCATGGGAGTCAGGCTGCAGGTCGTTTCGTGCCCAACTTTGAGATATGTGGACATGCCCCGACTTTTCCTTCTAGTATCCCCATTTTATAGATGAGAAAATAGGCACAGAGAGTGCAAAGCTGCCACTGCAACCTGAAGTGACTTGGGGGGAGGGTGTCTCATGTTTAATTTCTGCAAATTTTCCATTTAGTTTCATACTATGTCCATGCTTGTTTTTTATGTAATAACTAGAGGCCCAGCGCACGAAATTTGTGTATGGATACAGACCCTAGGCCTGGCCTGCGATCAGGGCCATCTTCCCTGGCAGCCGGCCCCACCTCCCACTGCCACCCACCCCCGGTTCCCTGTTCCCCATCAGGTGATCGGAGCCTGCCCGCCTGGGGAAGAGACCAAGAGGTTGACCAGCAGGCCCCAATTGGGCAATTGGGGCCTGCGGTTTGGGGGCAGCTCCTGCGTTGAGTGTCCGCCCCCTGGTGGTCAGTGCGTGTCATAGCGACCGGTCGTTCCACAGGAGGTCGATTTGCATATTACCCTTTTATTATATAGGGTAGTTTGCTTCCCAGATCTTTCCGTAAATTGATGCATTAGGAAGATAACACTACATATCCCACCAGCTAGCCCCAGAGGGTCATGCACACACCTTTAAGAAATACAGCCTACAAGGTTATCAGTAATTTGTCCAATCAGGGAGTAGTTAACCTAAAATTAGAGAGGGCCTGTGGGTCTGGGATAAAGCCTGGCACAGAGGCAGAGCCAAGGTAAGGAGGGGGAGAACAGAAGTTGGTATGTGCATGGGGGGGGGTTGGTGCTGGCACTTTATTCCTAGGTCCTAGCAGAGCAATCAAACCATGACCTCTTGGTTAGGACCTTCGCTAGGAGTTAGAGGATATAAAGGTTGGAAACTTCTTTCACAATGTTTAGGAGACGAAATACAACAGATCCATAGCTTTGCATCATTGCCTAATTACTCACTACTGATTTGGTTGTTGAATACAAAAGGGCTTCAGAGAAGGCAGAGTGTAGTGTGTTTAAAGTGATTGAGAAGGTATTATAAAAAAGGTGAGTCCAAAAAAACCCCCTGAAGGACCAGCCAGGGTGGCTCGGTGGTTGGGTGTTGACCTGTGAACTGGGAGGTCATGGTTTGATTCCTGGTAGGGGCATATGCCCTGCCTGGGTTTCGGTCTCGATACTCGGTTGGGGGCATGCGGGAGGTGGCTGATCAGTGACACTGTCTCATCATTGATGTTTCTGTCTCTCCCTCCCCTTTCCTCTCTGAAATCAATAAAACAATATATATTTTTAAAAATCGCCAAAGGATGGATCACATTAAGAAGTAGGAGAGAGGAGAGCAGTTTGGGCTAGAGAGTGATTCTTGCCTTGCTTCTCATTTATTCTCATTAATATTCATATGTATATTCATTTATCTTTTCTCTCAAAATCTTAGTGTTTCCCTAAGTTAGTTTTTACAAAATTACCCCCAAGGCAACAGGATTTACATGTATTATTATTTGTCAGATCTTTTTTGGGGTCTAAATCAAGGATTGCCACTGGGTTGGCCATTGCTGGCAGTTGATGGCGTATAGGCCCGGCGTTATCCTTGCAGAAGCTGAATTTGAATGCCCTTAGGTCAGTGGTTCTCAACCGGGGCTGCACATTAGAATCACCTGGAATCTTTTTAAAATCCTGAGTTCCAGAGGATGAGGCCCAGAAATCAGGATTTTAAAAAGATTCCCAGGTGATTCTAATGTGCAGCCAAGGTTGAGAACCACTGGTTTAGAACCTAATCTGCCCTTTTTCCAAATCTCATCTTAAAATTTCTTTTGGCTTTTACCAAAGGAAGTAACATCTTGTCCTGTTGCATTAGGCTACTTTTCCTTCTCTTCCCGTGAATAATGATTGTCTGCCTCAGAATGGGAGATGGAAAGATAGAAGCTTGGAACAGTGTGCACTTAATGATTTTTGAAGCCTGGAAAGCCCATTCCTATTTAATTTACCTTACTTTTTCCACTGAATGTGACTAAGGGCCTGGAAGGAGGGAAAATCAGCTTGAAGAGTACTTTCAATATAAAGTAATGCGTGAAAACAGGATTAGAAATGGAAGCGCCTCTCAACATAAAAATTTCAGTTTGCCTCTGCAAATACCTTATCTTTCTTTTTGGCATTTTTTTTGGCCCTTTGCTGTCTTTTGGGTTACTGTACTTGATAAAAGGCTGCCAAACACTACAATAATTCTTGTTTTTTTGGCCGATGACATATGTTTCTGCATTGAGATAGTTCTGTGGCCTAGTAAACTCTAAATGCGTGCCTGTGGTTAGAAATGGATAGAAGCCCACGAAACTCTTGCTTACTGCTCAGCCGTGTCTCTGACTTAAAGACGAACCCCCTTCTCAAGTCTTGGTTTCTCGGTCCCAGCTTTATAAGGATGAAGTGGGCATTAGTCAGTATCTGTGGAGGTTCTGAATGAATGACTGTGTGAGGTGTTTATAACCTCCAAGGTAATTAGTAGAGAACAGTAACTTTGTTCACTTCTGACCTCTCGGGAAACGGGCTGGTTCTTTCCAGGCAAGTTGGGCCTAGGAGGTTGAAGGTAAGTTCCCTCTTCCTGCTGTGGAGCCTGTAAGAAATAAGGGTGTGTGTGTGTGTGTGTGTGTGTGTGTGTGTGTGTGGTGTGTGTGTGTGTAATCTTAGAAAGGAAAGTCGCGGAAGAGCCAAAGCACAGGGCTCTCTGCTGTGCCTTCATGTCACCTTCCCTCCTCGCTAGGCATTGAGCGACCGCTTCAGCGGTGAGATCCCCGATGACCAGATGGCGCACAGCTCCTTTTTCCCAGACGAGTACTTCACCTGCTCCTCCTTGTGCCTCAGCTGCGGGTAAGTGAGGCCAACTGTCTCCCCATCTTGGGAAAAGAGACTCAGAATGGTGCTTCTTAGTCATCAGTGGGCATGCAAGTCACCTGGGGTCTGGTTAAATGAAACATTCTGGTTGACGGATGGGGTGGGGCCCGAGATGGTGATTTCCAAGTTCCCAGGTGATCCTGGTGGTCGGGGGACCACACTTTGAGGTTGCAGGGGATTCCGGGACACATGGTTATGAAGAATCTCCTGAAGATTTCAGCCTGGTTTAGATGTGAAATTGACTGGCTTCCGGTTTGGGCAGTTTTTACTATAGAAAACTTTAGGTTGCCTGTTTCCCCATGTTTCTCCTATCAGGGCTTTCAATCATAGTTATTCCATTTATTCAACTAATGGTTGATAGAGAGCCCAGTGTGTGCACAGCACTGTAGTCCCTGTGAATCCTAGTTGATTCCTTTCACTGTGAGGGCAAATGCTTAGAGCACATTAGAATTATCCAGGGAGCTTGCAAAAGTCTCCAGGCCTTGGCCCCACCTTCAAGGAGGCTGGTTTAATGGGTCTGGGGTGGGGCGTAGGCACTGGAATACTTAAAAGGCTCCTGAGATTTTTCTAATGTGTAGTCTGAGTTGAGGACATTGCATTAGAGCAGTGCTTCTCAAACATCAGTCTGTATATACACCACTTTGTGATTTTGTTAAAATGCAGAGTGTGGACAGCAGTTCTGGGTGAAAATCTGCATTTCTAACAAGCTCCAAGTGATGCCTCTGATGCTGGTCTGTGGACCACACTTTGTTACAGGGGATAGGGCCGTGGTCGGCTGCAGCTCACGAGCCACATGCGGCTCTTTGGCCCCTTGAGTGTGGCTCTTCCACAAAATACCACGTGCAGGTGCGCACGTACAGTGTGATTGAAACTTCGTGGCCCATGCGCAGAAGTCGGTATTTTGTGGAAGAGCCACACTCAAGGGGCCAAAGAGCTGCATGTGGCTCGAGAGCTGCAGGGCATTGATTCTCAAGTGAGCATGCATCAGAAACAGCGGAAGGACATGTTGAGACAGATCTGTGGGTCTTGACCCCACAGTTTGATTTAATAGGTCTGATCAGGGCCTCAGAACTTTTATTTCTGTTAAGTTTTCAGGTGATGCTGATGTTGCTGGTTGGGGACCACACTTTGGGGGTCACTGGATTAACTTGAGCTGTTGAGGGCTGTTAAATCACAGTTTGGTGACTTGACTGAAGCAGCCCAGGGGATTTAAATGCAGTGTGTCACAGTCAGATTGCAGTCTCCACGTCGTGTACTCCCTGCCTTTCCACCCCTTCACCACTTTATTGTCCTTGCTCACATTTGCCCATCTACAGGAGGAGACCTTTCTGTTCTGATAGCCTTTTTGCATTGAACCCAGTAGGCCACCGCCGGGCACTGAACCACTTGGCTCTGAATTTGTAAAAAGGACTTGGGTGTTGGATTAGACGGCCTGGGGTGGGGAGGACTAGGATTATCTTGGACAGAGGGATGTTCATTGCCAGCGTGATTTATCTTCCTTTTTGCTTGCCCCGTGAGCCCAGCACGAGGGGCTAGGCTCCGTTGGATCGTTGCTTTCCATTCTAGCTGAGCTTCCTCAGGGTTTCCAGACTTTCCTTCTCCGTAGGGACATTCTGAAGTTCTGATCTGTATGCTGTGCTGTCAGGGTGGCCGGGCTCGCTGTTCGTTTGGAAGGTTTTCTTGTCCGGCTTAAGCCTCCTCTTAGTGCTTTGCCAAATGTTGGGGGATGGTTTTTGTTTGGCATTTTGGCAGCCTGTCCTGGTTAAACTTAATTCATACTGTTTGGGTTTTTCAATTTCCTGAGAGCCATTCAAGATTCATCTCTTGTCAAGGTGGTATCTTCTGGCGCCTCCATTCCTACTGAGGGGCCAGGTGGTGTTTCTAAGAAGAGTGTCTCCATTTCGCTTTTTCTCTTCAGATAAGGTACTACTTGCTCTACCTTTGTAGTGATGCTGATTGCAAGGACACGGGAGGCCTGTGGGTTCCTGAGACAAACTGTCCTCTGTGCTCAGTACCCGGGGCCTCGTTCATAACCAAGGTCTGGTTTGGGCCCCATCTCTGGCTCAGGGTCAGATTCTTCTGCGTAAGTAGCATCAGTTCCATTGGCCGCCTCATTGTCAGCTTTTGGGCTTCACTCAGGGCTGGATGTAAGAACAGCATGAATCATGGGAAAGAAGGAGTACCTCATGAAGCCAAGAGCCGCTGCAGCTACTCCCACCAGTATGACAACCGAGTTTATACCTGCAAGGTGAGTCCCCGAGCTTCTCCCTGCTCCAGCAGCTGGCTGCTGGTCACCCTCCTGTTGGAAAGATTGGCTTGGGGCAGCTTTGCTGCATCCCAAAGTATTTGATGTTCAAATGGAATCTCTCTGGAACTTCTCCCCAGCTCTAACCAAAATAACTCACACATGTTTGTTGCTGGGGCCTCGTGGAACTTTTTTAAAGCTTATTTTCCCCTTAGTCTCTTGAGCTTGTGGGCAGGGGTCACATACACTGGCTGTTTGTTCTTCTTACGCACGGAAGTGCTCTTCAGGAACCGAGTTCTGATTTCTTCTGTCTGTGATGGGTGTATAATTGACAGCTTAGTTTTGGGGCCTGGGGTGGGGATACATTCAGTTCATGACCATTCAGGGCACTGGCTTCTTTAGAGAAATGAACTTTCTTCTGATGTGCTAAACTTGGCGTCTGTAGACCCTCAGACGGTATGGTTTGTGGGGAGTGGGTGCTGGACAGGGATGTGAAGAGGCCACGGGGACTGGTGTCCAGAGAAGAAGCTGGCAGAGTGCTCCATGTTTCAGGCCTGCTATGAGAGAGGCAAGGAGGTCAGCGTAGTGCCCAAGACATCTGCTTCCACCGACTCCCCCTGGATGGGTCTTGCAAAATATGCCTGGTCTGGGTGAGTTTAAACAACATAGCTAAGGGTTGTCTGGTGTGTTTGTTTCCCCAGAAACCTGGCAGGGTAATAGTATCTATTTGCATTCCTTGTAGGTATGTGATCGAATGTCCTAACTGCGGCGTGGTCTATCGTAGCCGGCAATACTGGTTTGGGAACCAAGATCCTGTGGATACGGTGGTGCGGACAGAGATTGTGCATGTGTGGCCTGGAGTAAGAGCAGTTTTATTTACTATTCTTTCCCTTGTATCGTTCAGTTATACATGTGTGTGGAAAAGTGGTTTAGAAATAAGGTTAACCATGACTTTCAGTATTTTGGTGGTTTAGGAAGGCATGATCTAAAGAGCTTTTCTTGTTCTAGTTCGTTAACTATTTTCGTTTCTTTTTGCATACATACTAGAAGCACAACTTGAAATAAAGTAAATGAAAAGTTGATCTATTGTTATACTGCCTTTGCAAATAAAACTTCATTTTTATTTATTTTAAAATATGTTTTTATTGATTTTGAGAGGGGGAGAGAGAGAGAGAAACAGCTATGAGAATCATTGATCTGCTGCCTCCTGCACACCCCCTATTGGGGATCAAGTCCACAACCCAGGCATGTGCCTGGCCAGGAATTGAGCCTGCAACTTCTTGGAGCATGGGTCGACACTCAATCACTGAGCCACACTGGCTGGACAAAACTTCATTTTTTAAAAAACATATTTTATTGATTTTTTATAGAGAGGAAGGGAAAGGGAGAGGGATAGAGTGTTTGAAACATCGATGAGAGGAACATCGATCTGCTGCCTCCTGCACCCCCACTGGGGATGTCCCCGCAACCAAGGTACATGCTCTTGACCGGAATCGAACCTAGGACCCTTCAGTCTGCAGGCCGACGCTCTATCCACTGAGCCAAACCGGTTAGGGCAAAACTTCATTTTTTCATGTTCTCTTCGGTCATTTTCCATATGCATATGTTTATATAGTTGTAATTATAATTTACATGCCATTTATCTGCCTTTTTTTCTTACCGTAATACTATTTCCACATTGCTTCCATTTTTCATGATTCCATTTGTAGTCACTGTGTAACATTATGTCTAGTGTTATAGTTTGATTCTCCATTCCCTTTTTAAACTTTCATGCGTGCTGTTTATGATTTTTTTTTAATCATCAAAGAAAATGCGATAGTGACCATCTTTATGTAAGAAAACCATTTCTTTTTTTGGAAATTTTCCTGATGTATATTCTAAGAAATGGGATTACTATAGACCCTTATTATTTTTAATTTGACTTTTGAATTCCAAATGTTAGAAAAAGAAATTTGTTTATGAGGCATTTATATGTTGCTTTGATTCTGCATTAAGCCACAATTCATACTTGGAATTACTCATAAATCACAACATATCCAAAACCTTTCCCTTCATGGAAAAAAATAAGCAGTTTTCTCGAAGGGACTTACGTGGTGATGTTCCCCTTGTAGGGTGATTCCTAAAGCCACCGGTTAGTCCACCTTTGAGCTTGCCTGGATCCTGCAGGTACCACATAACTGACAATTTCCTATTGTTTTGTTCCTCTTCTTCCCAGTCTCGCCTGACATGATGGCCCAGGCTATTCTGGTCCGAGGGTTTAATATGGCCTCACACTAGTATAACTTTCTCACAAGGTGTTTTGTGACTGTCTTTTGTTTTTGATCTGCTGTAGTTATTTCTTGCAAAAGCTATTGTCTCTGTGGCAAGATCGTTTATAGTCCAAGAAAACAGTAACACTGTAGTGTACTTTTAGGCTGCACTCCTCATCGTCCTTGGAATTAGGGAATACAGGCTCCTCTCCTTCTGTTCATTCATTCATCCATTCATTATCTCAGCATATGTTGTTGAGTACCCTGTGCTCAGAATTGAACTAGATACTTACAAAATACAAAAGTGAAAAAGATAGGTTATTGTTCTCAGAGAGTTTACAGTCAGCTACATAAACAGATACTGTTCTTACATGTGGAAACAGAATTCCTGGAGATGTGCAGATATTAGAGGAACTGAGAGGAAGGGTTCCTAACCCAGCCTGGGTTTCCTGCGGGAGGTGTCATCGTTATGTGAGTGTTTCCTGGAGTGTATATCTTGTTTGTGGGCAAACTCAGTCCTGATTGAGCAGCTGCGCACCAAGTCTTATGGTTGCCTTGAAGAGAATCATTCGTCATGACTGGTTGGTGTGCTATTGCCTAGAAGGTCTGTCCCTGTTTTTCTCTGCCAGGGAGTTTGTGGTTCTGAGTTGGCGGTGATGAGTGTGCCGCTCACCCAGGACCCCCGCCCTTTTCCTTTGAGTCCCTTCCCTCAGAGCGTGATGGGCGCCTGCGTTTTCATTTCAGACTGATGGATTTCTGAAGGACAACAACAATGCTGCCCAGCGCCTCTTGGACGGGATGAACTTCATGGCTCAATCGGTGTCTGAGCTTAGCCTTGGGCCCACCAAGGCTGTAACATCCTGGCTGACAGACCAGATAGCACCAGCCTACTGGAGGCCCAACTCCCAGATCCTGGTACGGTGCGGCAGGCTGCTCCTGTAGCCCTGGCATGGCCTGTCTTGCTTGTGTCGCTGCACCCTGTCCCAAGCTTGCTCTGTGGGGGAGGCGTGGAATTTCTCTCCCTGTCAGGTTAGCTCCCCGAGCATTGGAAAGGGGAATGCATTAAGGCAGGCAGTGTTGTCTTCTCCCTTGGATTTCCCTTCACGTTATTCTGCAAGTGTTTTCTTTGTGATAGATTTTCGCTTCCTTACCTGCAAGGGCCAATCATTACTGATGAGATGCCTAAGATCATAGATACAGAATCTGAAGGCCAGGAGCCTTTGGAGATCAGTTAGAGTCATCCTGGGCTTGATCCATAAATCTCGACAGCACCCACAGCAAAGGAGCACCCAGCTGTGGCCCAAATCCTTTGACGGGGAACTTGCTCCGCACCAGCTTCCCAGAGGCTCTTTTGTGGGGCCATTAAAAAAATAGACTCATTTCTCTTCTGGCTTAGATTAGCCTTCTGAGAACCCTGTGACTCAGCCACATGATTTGAGAACCTTTCCTGGCACTTCTTGGAAGAAAATGATAATGACAGCTGCTTCAGTGGCTGGAGGTTTTAGGGCCCCTCCCTTAGGACTGGCGGGGTCCTGCCGTTTCAGGGTGGTCCTGTGGGCCTCCCCCTGGGTATTGGTGGCTTTCTCAGCTGAGCACACATGAGTGACACCTGCCTCTGTCTGTTCTGGGCTTGGAACAGAGCTGCAGCAAGTGTGCTACGTCCTTTAAAGATAACGACACCAAGCATCACTGCCGGGCCTGTGGGGAGGGCTTCTGTGATGGCTGCTCATCCAAGACCCGGCCGGTGCCCGAGCGGGGCTGGGGCCCCGTGCCCGTGCGGGTGTGTGACAACTGCTATGAAGCCAGGAATGTCCAGTTAGGTAACGTGGGGTCTGGGAGCTGCAGGGTGGAGGGCGGGACCTCTCTCCTTGGCACTGGGTGTTGGGAAGTGGACTCCTATAATGCCCACCCTGTTCCTAACTGCATCTACTGACAGCAGCTGCTCCCATGGTCTTGGTCAGTCTGAGTGCTGGGGTGCTATTTCTTGGTGGTGGTGAGGGGGGTGGTTAATCCTATCCTGTGTTTACCAGACATGGCTTGGACTGAGTCTTCTCTTGGAGAAGGTTCTAGGTCATGCTCCTGGAAGCTCTCTGCTCTACTTTAAGGAAAGGTTAGAAGATAGCTCTTGAGGGTTGAGGTAAAAGACTAACAGGTGCCACCGGTCTCAGAGTCTGGGCTGACCTGACCCGCAGCCCAGCCCCTGCGGATAGTTGCCGGGCAGCACAGTGGTACCTGGGGAAGAACCCAGAAGCGCTCTGCTGCTGCCCTGAGTTTTCCATTTGGGAAATGACTAAGAGCTGACGGCTTTTCCTTTATCATTGTCTACAGATGTTGCTGAGGCACAGGCGGATGACGAAGGTGGGACACTAATTGCTCGGAAGGTGGGCGAGGCTGTGCAGAACACTTTGGGAGCCGTGGTGACAGCCATGGACATACCACTAGGTGGGCCCGGCAGTGCTGCTCTGGGTGTAGTGTGTGTGGGATGGAAGGCTTCAGAGGGCCCTGGGTTGTCATTTTGTCAAAGGCTTGCAGACCCAGGATGAGTCGGGCAGCAGGAAGGTGACTGAAAATTGATGAACATTTGCTTAACTCTGGAATACCTTAGTGGTTTCGTGTTTCTATCCGGAGGCCATTCTCTTACACCACTGATTGCTGCATAGCAAACGACCTGAACATGTAATGGCTTCAAACAACCACCATTTTACCATATCTCACAACTCTAAGTCAGGGAGAGTAATTCTTCTGTTTCAAGTGGCATTGCCTGGTATTCCAGTGTGGCAGCTGGACTGTCTCGAGGGTCCAAGCAAACCTAACTCACTTGCTGGGCCTTGGCAGGGATGCCTGGAAGTAGACCCTCCCTCTCTCTCCATAAAGCCTCCAGGCCTTTCCTGTGGTTTCTTTGTTGGTAGTTGGACTTCTTTACATGGTGGCTCAGGCTCTAAGGCTAATATTCCAACAGACAAGTGGAAGCTGCCAGTCTCTTTTAAGGCCTGGGCCTGGAAACGTGTATAGTCTTCTGTAGGCACAGAGCCTGCCTAGATTCAAGGAGGGGGCACGAGTGTCAGAGAATTTGTGGCTGTGTTTAATCTGCCACACCAGCCAAGCTATTACTCATTTAGGATGTAAGATAGCTCTTCACGTCTGGCCTGGTGGAATGGGGTGAAGACCAGGCATTGTAACCAAGATGGGAAGAGGGAGAGGAAGGGAAACCCACCAGTGTGTGGAGGGCTTAGGCAGGGTTGTCCGGGCTGGGGTACTGCAGCCCTTTGTAGGGGAGAGACCAAGGTCTCCTGGGTGGGTGGGAATGAAAATTGCTTGTAACAGATGTAATCACTGTGGCTCACAGGACGAGCAGACAGTGAGCTTTGACTCCAGGGTGTAGGAATAGATGGATTTGCCCAGGCTTGAAGTTCAGGTTGCATCTGCTGTCACGGTAACTGGGAGAGGCAGGCTGCCCTTGGCGCACAGAGCCTGCCAACTGTGCTCACCCGCTGTCGGGTCTCAGGCCCGTGCGTAAGACATGTTAGTTCTTGTAATCCCCGTAACAGCTCTTGAAGGTGGGTTGTTAAAGATGAGGAAGCTAAGGCCTGAGAAGTAACCTCTTGTAATCTTGCAGCTGCTAATTAACTGGTGCTCAGTGGAACTGGCATTCAAATGAAGATATGTCCTGACTCCGACTTCTTGTTGCTCCAGTGGTTCTTAATGCAGCTGCACCTTAGGAACACCGGGAGAGCTTAATAGATACGCACATTTCAGGTCCTGGGCCCCCGCCCTGAAGATTGTGGCCTGGGTGGAATGGGCGAAGACCAGGCGTTGCCCGTGTAAAAGGTCTCTCGGTGATTCTGTGTGCAGTTGCATTGGGAGCCACTGGAGGGTCTGAGGACTCCGTGCACCGTGGGATGGGGTGTTGGGTTCCGCGTGTCCCGCCCAACATAGTTCCTTCCTTGCCACAGGTCTGGTGAAGGATGCGGCCCGGCCGGCGTACTGGGTGCCCGACCACGAGATCCTGCACTGCCACAACTGCCGGAAGGAGTTCAGCATCAAGCTCTCCAAGCACCACTGCCGGGCCTGCGGCCAGGGCTTCTGTGACGAGTGCTCCCATGACCGCCGGGCTGTCCCATCTCGAGGCTGGGACCATCCTGTCCGAGTCTGCTTTAACTGCAATAAAAAGCCCGGTGACCTTTAACCCCAGCTCCCTCTCCCCATCCTTCACAATTCCTTAGGTTCTCAGGGTTAGAAACAGAAGTCTCATCGAGGTAGGCCCTCCTCCTGGTCACCTGTGGTGGTGTGTATCCTCTCTGCTCATCCTGGGGCCACTTTCCCACGGTGTGGGGTAGGCAGATGGCAAGCTGGGGTGAGCCTGGCGGCAGGCCCGAAGGCAGAAACCCCTCGGGGCAGAGGACTAAGCAGCTTGTCGAAGCCGTTGCATTTATATCAGTTAAAAATAACAAATATATCCCCGTGTCGACATACGAAAGGCATATGGAGTCTCCAGGCTGCTGGTTGCAGACTGAATGCAGTCTGTCCCCAGCGCAGGAATAAGGTGGCAGTGGCAGCAGGTCTTCCCATAAAACCGAGCCAGGTACAAAGCCACTGTGTTGCTGGCCACCGTTTCTTCTTCCCAAGCCTTCGAAGCCTCTCCTTCCCTTTCCCTTTAGGCCTCTTGGTTGCCTGGGGAAGTGAGCTTCCCAGGTGCTTGCTTGGAATAGCCCGGAAGGGGTCTGTCTACCTGGGCCCTCCAGAGCTGCATCCCAGGCCTTGGCCTAAGCCTGTTTCAGAGACCACTCAGCTTAGCGTGCAGGTCACCGGAGTGGGTGGAGGGTGAGGGGTAGGGTCCTCAGCCCTGAGAAGTCAGAGTGCGGGTGATGTGACACCCTCGTACCCGGGGAGAGCTTGGAAGGAAGTGGGTCTCCCCAACAGTGTTTCCTGCTTGTTGCTGCTTCTGTCTGTGCATCCACTCGGCTTCCCAAAGGCCATACCCTGCTCCGAAAGAGAGCACCCACTTCCCGCCCCCTCTAACCTTCTCAAGCCACCATCTGCTTCTGAGTGTTGCACTAGGATTTTTATTGCTTATTTTGAAGTGTCTTAATTCTTTGTTCCCAGACACATGACCCCTCTAGCTATTGGAGGGGTGATCATGAGCAATCTTCCAGGGAAACAGAGCACAGAATGGACTGTTAGTTATTTTCTGTTTTGGTTTTTTTGAGTATCTATAAATATTTCAACAGATCATGAAGAAACAAATTCTCTCTGGTCCTTGCAAGAGAAGTCAAACGAACTTTTGCTTCTCATTAAGAGCTGGGACGTCCATCTCTGGTGTGACTGGAAAGACTGTTGTGCTGAATCCTGTCATCATGGTGGACTTTATCTTCAATGGCCAAAAACGAAGATATAAAAAGTGACATAGTTTTTGACTGAACTGGTGGGTGGGCGGAGCTTCAGGGGGTACTTGGCGGTCACTCTGGTGTGTCAGTGTGACGGGAGCCCTGGAATGTGTTGGTCTGCAGACCTGCTCCCTTGCTCCCGTGGCCGTGACAGGCCCTACTCTAGTACTGTGTATCAACTGCGCTGTTATAAAGGACTTCCTGCTGAACGCGGACTCTGCGGCTCCTTCCTTTCACGTCATCAGTAAGTCTGGCTCCCTCTTTCTAGCTGATAGGAAAGTAGCTGGTGGCTTTCCAAGCAGAAGCCAAGCGAGTGGCGTATTTCTAGGGTGGTCATATTTTACTGGTAAATGCCTCAGGTTATTACTCTAATAAGAACTTAAAAAGCATAGCCAAAAACCACAAAACCATGACATGGATTTTAATTTCGTGACAATGGGCTGTTTTCCCCAGCTTTGCATAGATAGCATGCCCCAGCCCAGTTGGCTGACTTGGACCAGGAACTTGGTGGATATTCCTTAAGTGTGTTCAAACTGATGGTCAGAGAACTCTTTCTAGGGCTCCACACCTGCTCACTCACCGTGCTGTTCTCTTGTGCTTGGGCTGTTCAGCAGAGCTTTCCACGGAGGTTGAGACCAGGTTTTGTGGGGTGGGGAGCTCAGAGCACAGGCTGAGCTATGCCGGCCTGGTCCCGGGCAGGGCAGCGTGGTGGGTGCTGTGTGGTGCAGTGGTAGCAGTTGCTTCACTTGTGTTCTGAGGGTTTCACTCTGGTGGCTGTGGGCTCACATTCCCTGGGGAATCCGCCCTCACAGAGGAGGCGAGTGTTACTAGTGACATATGGAAACCACGGGGGGTGGTGGTGGTGGTGGAATTTTTGTCATTCCCCTGCCCTGTCTTATCTGTCCAACTTCTGTCGATCCTCCACTGTTGCTTCATTCTGGTGGCTATTAATTACACTTTGGTCTTTGTCCCTTCCCTTCTTCTTTGCCCCATCTTCTCTTCCCTTGTCTTTCTCATTCCTGCTCAGAGTCCCTTTTCTTCTTTTCTCTCTACTTGGGGCGGGGGACAGGGTGTGGAGGGTTAGGGGAGAGATGTTTGTACTATGGCCATGCGGGGGCGCCCCTGAGCATGGGAGTCTGCCTAGCCACAGGAATGACGCAGAACAGTATTCTGAACTTCCTTCCTCACACTAGTCAGACCAACAGGAAAGGAAGGGAACCCAGTGTCAGAGTCACACCAGGTTCTGTCTTCTTGCTCCACACATCCAGTCCTAGCCTCAGCTGAGTATCAGGTGGAAGCCAGCTCAATACAGAATGAAAACAAAGGCCTAAAAACCCCCACTGAGCTCTAGTGTACATACACATTTCAGCTTGATTATTTTTCTGAAACTGAACATATAGTCAACCAGCACCCGGATGAAGAAACAACATAACTACACCCCAGGAACTCCTGGTCCCTCCTCACAGCAGGAGTATCCACTATCCCAGTGGTCGGCAAACTCATTAGTCAACAGAGCCAATTATCAACAGTACAATGATTGAAATTTCTTTTGAGAGCCAAATTTTTTAAACTTAAACTATATAGGTAGGTACATTGTTATTAACTTAATTAGGGTACTCCTAAACTGGCCTTTGCTAAAAATGTGCTCAATCTGATTGAGGTACGTTTGCTGAGGTCGACCCCTTCCAATTCTCCCATCCACACTCGTCTTATATACATGTTTCATCTATCTCCTTTCGTTCATCCTCTCTATATGTCCAAACCATCTCAACATACCTTTCTTAATCCTCGACACTACATCTTTCACTCCACAACGTTCCCTAAAATTAACTTAATAAACTTTAAAGTTTTAAGTCAATTTTGCACTGTACGTGCATGCCCGCACATGGTATTTTGTGGAAGAGCCACACTCAAGGGGCCAAAGAGCCGCATGTGGCTTGTGAGCCTCGGTTTGCCGACCACTGCACTATCCCAACATGCATTAGCACAGATTAGTTTCTCCCCATGCCCCCCTTTAGGGAGGGGCTACATGAAGTTGTTTTTTAGATTTTTTGTGTGAATTTGAGCCAAATTGTCAACAGTTGCTGGGAAGCAAAACTTAATGGATTGAGATAATGCTCCGCATAAAGTTGTTTTTAAGAACATCTTATTTATTGATTTTAGAGCAAGAGGATGGGAGACATTGATTTGTTGTTCCACTTATTTATGGATTCATTTTTTTTCCTTTTATATTTTTATTGATTTCAGAGAGGAAGGGAGAGGGTGCTAGAAACATCAATGATTAGAATCATTGATCTGCTGCCTCCTGCACGTCTCCCCCCACACCCCAGGGGATTGAGCCTGCAACTCGGGCATGTGCCCTGACTGGGAATCAAACCGTCATCTCCTGGTTCATAGGTTAATGCTCAACCACTGAGCAACATCTGTCAAGCTTAATAGTTGGACTTTTCAGAGGAAAAGGAATGGAGGATAGTTTGAGCAGAGAGCAGATAAGGGAGGAACTTCAAACATGTGTCCTGAGAGGACCAGGTGGGAGGTGGAGATGGAGCAACAGGATGAGGCATATGTGATCAAATCTCAACAGAACACACATTTTATTCTGAGGCACAAGAAGCCGTTGAAGGGAGGGGTGTTAGCCAGGCAGTGGGAGGCCTGGAGAGGCAGACTTAAAGGAGTGGGCCTAGATGCTTTTTATAACAACTAATGGGGAAATGGAAGGAGAAACTGAGTTTAGCCTGCAATTGTTTTCGGAGATGGTTATGTGAAGGATTTAGACCAGGACAGATGTAGGGCTGACAGGTAAGTAGGACTAACTTGGTCTCAAAGGATGCTTCCAGGGACACTGATTCTGAGTAGCCTCCAGAGCCTTTGGGGCCAACTGAATTCTAGGGTGGCTACCCAGCAAGATGGTGTGTGAGGCACGTGTTTATCTGAGGGCATTTTTGATAGCCAGTATGTGCCATTGTTCTCATTTCTTTATAGAAGGCTACAAGCAAGCAAACACGAGGCCATTTGACAAAGGGCTTATCATAGCTCAGGGCTGCTGTCAGCGCTGCCTGCTCATTCTCTACCTGGGGAACAGGGCAAAATGCCTAATAGACATGCAAGTGAAAAATGCTTCGAGACTGTGTAACATACTAATCTTTGGAATACTATGTTAATAAGCAAACAGATCAAAATGCTTAATCAACTTCTCAGCTAAGTTTAACTGCTTTTCATACAACCTAGACTAAATGTTAGGAGCAGTGACTGCTAACTAGAGATCAAGAATAAATTGCTAAATTTAAATTAGAACTTTGAAAGCTTCCCACTTTTTAAAAATAAAGCCTAATGAAAATCTAAAATGGTTCTTCAACAAATGTATTTACTTAACAAGAACTTGGGCTATGTTGATAAGAGAAGTTATACGGTGATAGGACCACGCTTGTCAAAATTCACCTGGTATTGTCTTGAGTAGTCAGAATGTCTCCACTGTCTGGGGAGAGAGCAAAGTTGAACTGAGTAGCCAACCATGGGCTTTGGGCTCCACTGACATAGTACAGAGCTCTATTGGTAGTGGGGGAAGCTCTGCAGTGGACGTGCAGTAACCAGTGATTCTAAATTGCAGATCCTGTAATGAATGAACTTGTGTATTGTGGTAACTTAGATCTTGAGAGAACAAAAGTATGTGTGGATGTTAAGGTCATGGCTCAGCATTTATTATGCTTGTTTGTGCTCTTGGGCAGGGGCATGTCACCAAAGTTACTCCAAGAGACTGCGGTAAGTGGCCACCTGGACCCTTCGATCAGATAGATATTTCCTGGGACCCATGTACAGGCCAGTATGCCAGGGTTGCCAATACAGGGACAAATCTAAATGATTAAACACAGAAGAATTAGCAAGCTTCTTACCCACTGGTGCCAGAAAATTTCATTTACCTGGTGATTAAGCATCATGAAATGTTAGCATCACGTGTTTATGCTTGCACCGAGTCACTTCCTGATTTCTCCAGACCACCAGTTATAATGGAAAATATGGTCAGTGACGGGAGGAGCATGAAAAATAGAACGTGGTCTCAGGTCTTCCGGTTCCAAGTCCCAATTCTCCACTAACAAGGTCTGTGATCTGAGGCAAGTCACTCAACATCTGTGTGTGGACTTCTCTACCTATTAATGATGCTAGTAATTTTTATATTACTAATACTGTCCTACCTCCTTTATGTGTAGTTATTAGGTAAGATAGTAAAGGTCTTTATAAAATATGAGGCACTAAAACTATTATGACATGTAGCTCATTTAGCAGATGACCAATCATTCTCATCTGCTTTTCTTTTGATTTGTTTCTCTGTACACTAAGTTGTATTAGTTTGAGTTCTGGCAGGAAGCAGATGTAATGCTCACGAGGGTAGCTGAAGCATTCTGGGCTAGCAGCAGTGAGGTGCAACTACCAGCTGTGGGTCTGAAGGGACAAATGGAGAGAAGTTCCTGGAACCCAGAGAGCTGTGTTCCAACAGAAGCTGTTGGAATGCAGCCACAGCCGAGCAGGAGAGGAGCCAGGAACAACAATTCCATCTCTCCTGCCCTTTGCTTTCCTACCGGTAGGTCCTCCTGGCTAAACCCACTGTGGTAGGGACCCAAGAGGTCAGCTTGGGGAACACAAGAGCAGGTGAAAAGGGCACACAGGTGGATCTGTGGGCAAACGAAAGCTCCCCAGCAAAGCCATTAGGCTGATCCCAATCTCGATCCCTTTTTCCTCACCCGAGATTTAAGTACATGTTCGTGCAGCTGGTTTGTCCCTACGGTAGCCAAGCATCATGATCAAATCATTAATATCAACGACCATACCAGGTTCTTTCTGGTTTATTGTTTGGTAGAAAGACATGCTCTTTAACATCTGGTATAAACATCTCACAAACTGCTTCTCTTAGACAGTAAAAACGTCAAAGCCTATTTTCTTTGAGATGGGGCCCTTGAATCTGACATTCAAGTCCCCATGATAGAAACAGGAGCTGCTGTGGCTAACATTTTGAAGGATGCCTCAACAAAAGGCACGCGAAGGCCTGCTTAAAACCTCGGGCTAGAGTCAGCCTCTAAAACAGTGGTTCCCAACCTTGGCTGCACATTAGAATCACCTGGGAATCTTTTTAAATCCTGATTTCTGGGCCTCATCCTCCAGAAATTCTGTTTCTTTGTTACTAATGTTGTGGTCCCACCCCATAACAAAGAGACAGAATTTCCAGAGGATGAGGCCCAGAAATCAGGATTTTAAAGATTCCCAGGTGATTCTAATGTGCAGCCAAGGTTGAGAACCACTGCTCTAAAACGATCCACCTTTCTGCCCAATGCCCGTGAATGATAAAGAAAAGGAGAATCCCAAACATTTGTTCCTGATACTGAGTGTGAGAAGGCCAAACTCCAGCCTCAAATCTTTCTCCAGAAACTCCTTTCCTCTTCCCCTTCTCTCCAGCTGGCGTTCTCAAGTACAGATGCATGTCTTTTTGGGACCCAGGCACTGACAGTCTCATTAGGCTTCTTGAAAGGGCTTTTGGTGAAAGAAGCTTTAATTTAGGTATTGCTAATCTTCAGCCCTTAGAAAAAGTAATTTTTGTTTTATAAAAGGGGGAAGGGACTATTCTAAGGAATTCAACAAAAGGGAATAGGTACCTTTTATGAAAAGGACTTTCAAGCTCTCTGAGCCCACAACTTAACTGACATACATTACTAAAGTGTCTCCACATAAAACATAGCACCTTCATGTCCGCAGCAGCTGGATGGATGGGATCTGTGCACACAGAGCATCCATTTAAAATGCCTTCACTGGAAACAGCATATGGCAGAGGTATGGCTACTCTTTACTCCATTCAGTCAAATCCACATGCCTGCAGGCTGCTCTCTGCAGAATTAGCTGTAAGTGAAGTAGTAAAGGTCCTGCTGGACGGCCATGAGCAGCCCCGGCGCTCCCCGGACGCCCCCCAGCCGAGATGAGAAGGCCACACTGGGAATGTTGGTCCTGGAGGTGGGATGTGGGGAGGGTATGGTTCTGAGCAGGTGGGTATCGCGGAGGCTCCAGATTCTTGTGTAGCAGTCCTGGCCCACTAGGAGAGGGGAGACAGACACGCGGCAGGTTAGCGAGAGTGCAGAGAACGCGTGTGCATGGCTTCTCATGACTCCCTGGGAGCCAGAACACAAACCCTCAAATGGAAAATTTTTCTACTGATAATATGTAGTTTTTGAAAATCAAAGTTATGGGTCACCCTGGTGCTCTAGAACCGTAACTAGTTGTATGTATTCAAAGTGACAAGCTGCACCGACTGGCTGTGTGACACCCGGGAGGACTTGCTGGTTGTCCGGCTAATGGGTGGGCTCTGCGCTGCTCTTGGTGTCAATGGCTGCTCAAGAGGGAGCCCAGCCCACCTGGTCTCGATGACATGCAACCGCTTTCCTATTTATAAAACAGTAGCCAGGAAGAGCTAATGACTTCATTACACCTGGGGACAAACTAGGTGCAACTCTCGCCAGAGCTCTTTCTGGCTTCACGGCTTAGTTCTCAAGACCACATGGCCGTCAGGGCTCAGTGATGAGGAATGCGACACTAGCACCACTGGTTCCGGTGGTCCAGACACATGGTATGTGTCCTGGGGAGCTTCAGGGGAAGAGGGCAGGCACCCGAGGGACATACAGCCGGTTGCTCCTGTAGCGCAGGTCACTGACCACTACAACTGGCCCCCAACCCCCATCTGCCTGTCAACAAGGTGTCTCTCTTCTCTATTAGCCAGAACACTGAACTCTTCTGAGCTGAAAACCCGTGGAAAACAGACTAAAAGGAAGCTAACTGCTGGTGATGGTGACAGTAGTAAAGGAGCCTAAGAAAGTTCTAACCAAGTGATGCTGCTTAGCCACAAAAAGGTTTCAGGGAGAAGTACTTTCTGTAGGAGTAGCAGCAAGCTTGAGGATCTAAGAAGGCTGAAAATATATTCCTTAATGTCAAAAGCCTACTATTTCATTTGTCAAACCACCAAACTTCCAGCTGCCAGAATATTCTATTGTCCACAAACAGTATACTCTTGTAACAGCTTTCGATGGGGCTTAGTGGCTAGACAGCTCTGCTTCCTGTTCTACAAATCATGGATCCAAAGGGATGGTGTTACAGGAGCCAGGCATCAGTTTCTTTACAATGGCCTTAACTTCTTTTTCCAGCATCCTCTTCTGGAAACACAAGTTCAAAGAACAGGGAGCCTAAGCTTTTTGACGGGAAGTTGCATAATGGGATAAGGTCACACTGAATGCTGACCTGGTGAACAGATGTAAACCCTACACCCAAGTCTCCCCAACTGCTGTGCTACTGCACCTGACCTGCCTGCTACTGAAATGATGTTTGTCCGCTGATGTGGGAACAAAGGGCTGTCCCATGTAGTCTTCCCAATCCCGACAGTCCACGATCCCTATATTCTGTTCTGTTTTAAAGTAATGTCTCCCTCAGCTGCTTCAGATGCTGGGGGCCTAAGGGATAGAATTTGGTGGATGGAACCGCCCCTGCCCCAAGTACCGGCCACCAGGATTCCTTCTTCTTCATGCACGTGCAGGGGCAGGAGGGCGTACTCGTTCACGTGACCTTCGTACTGCCTTACACACTTGGTGGTCCTCAGGTCCCACAGTTTGATCTGAGGGAAGAAGCACAAGGGACCATTAAGGAGGGTCCAGCAGGTACACTGGTGAACCCCAGGAATGAGGGAGGGCAGGTGGTCTCCAAACACCTCTTCTGGTTAGAAAAATCTAAGCCTCAAACTCCTGAGACCTAGACTCCATCAAAAGCACCAGAACCAGTTCCACGTCTGTCTACTGGGCTCCCAGCAAAGCAGCTGCCTGCACAGCCTACTCTACCTTTCCAGCCATGTCGGATGCCACCAGGCACTGCTCCTCCTGGAGGACTTTCACAGATGTCACCGCTGAGTCGTGGAACAGGCTAGTGGCCTTCCAGTTATTGCCTTGATTTCGACATCGAATATCAATGGCAAAGATCTCCCCAGAGCGACAGCCATTAAACAGCAAAGGAGTCTGTGGAAAGAGGGACTGCTTGGTACCTCCCGCTAAGGCCGGGAGGGGTGTGCCCTCCAGAACACAGCCCTCCGTCCCCTCCCCCGCCCCAGCTCTCCTGGATCAGAGGTGTGGGTGGTCAGAGTTTGAGCCTCAGTGGAGTTGGGAGGGTTCCTAATGAAAGCAAAGAACTGGGCCCATGTGTCCCCCCAAGGTCATCCCCACTGGCTGCACAGGCCCCTTAGGCCTCACTCTAAAGCCCAAGTGATGGCGCCCTATCTCCACCAACATCGTGTGAGAAGCTGGGGTGATGAGGATGGAGTAGGAGAGATCAGAGGTCCAGGTAAGACATGGGGTCCTAAATAGAGAGGGAAGATGGCTGAAGAAACCTGAATTAATGAACTCTGTGCTTACTGCTGGAAGCAGATTGGCATACTACCTCCTCATTTCTAAAGAGAGACAGCATTTTCTGTGGAACAAGTTTTTGAAATACAGTAAGACTAGAATTTTGATTTTTAAATTTATAAAATGTGTAACTTGAAAGCTGTGTATGAAACTATTAAGGACTATGAACTGGGACTTAATTTACATACTAAAAGAACTGTTTGTGCCCTAGCCAGTTTGGCTCAGTGGATAGAGCGTCAGCCTGTGGACTGAAGGGTCCTACGTTCGGTTCGGTCAAGGGCACATGCCCAGGTTGCGGGCTCGGTCCCCAGTGTGGGGTGCGCAGGAGGCAGCTGATCGGTGATTCTCTCTCATCATTGATGTTTCCCTCTCTCTCTCCCTCTCCCTTTCTCTCTATAATCAATAAAAATAAAATTAAAAAAAAAAAGAAAAGAAAAAGAACTGCTTGCCAGGCCGGTGTGGCTTCAGTGGTTCTCAACCTTCCTAATGCCGCGACCCTTTAATACAATTCCTCATGTTGTGGTGACCCCCAACCATAAAATTATTTTCGTGCTACTCCATAACTGTAATTTTGCTACTGTTATGAATCGTAATGTAAATATCTGATATGCAGGATGTATTTTCAGGGGTTGCGACCCACAGGTTGAGAACCGCTGGGCTAAGTGGTTGAGTATCGACCTATGAACCAAGAGGTCCCCAGTTCGATTCCTAGTCAGGGCACAAGCCCGGGGTGCAAACTTAATCCCCATTAGAGGGTGTGCAGGAGGCAGACTATTGATGTTTCTCTCCCATCAATGTTTACATCTCTATCCCTCTCCCTTCCTCTCTAAAAAAAAAAAAAAATCAATAAAAACATATTAAAAACTGCTTGTCCTATTGGCTAATCCAAGTGCTACTTAAGAACTGCTAACAGTTCATTTAAACAGGAAGTTGTTTAAAGCCAGTTCAGCCAGGCCTTTCTGGATCAGTCAACTTTCACTCAGTAAAGACACATTTAAGAAACCTTTAATCCTTCCTCATGCCATTTCCCTCTGTAAAGGGGGGATGAGGAAGAACTGTCACATGGGAATCCAATTTCAATCCAGCAAAATTTCTATTCTTGGGAAACTGTATTGGGCCCTTCCCAGTCCCACCAACCATGACGGCAAACTGCTGGGTCAAGACATCACTGCTCGTCCCAAACGACAGCCGGTGTCCCGTCACCACGTTGGTCACCAGGACCCACCGAGACAAGCCTGACAGAGACAGAGATGGGGCGGAGAGACAAGTGTCACTTGTGATCTGGGAGAGGGATTGTGGGATATGGGGATTTAAGGTCTGAAACGTCCTTTTCTCTGGGACCTGGGGTGGCAGCCCTGGCTCACCTGTGCTGAAGCAGTTATTTGCCTGGATGTTCGAGGACCACGCACAGGACCAGGCCCCAGGGATCCGGAAACTGCAGAGCATGCCAGGCCGGTCTCCTGCTGAGAGAAGCAGTGAGTGTACAGCATGGCTGCCCTCGAGGGACAGAGACCTTCCCTTCACGCTGCCATGCCAGTAACCACCGATTTGGGAAACCTCCAGGAACAGCTGCTCAGGGGCGTGCAGGAGGCAGCCGAGCAAGGATTCTCTCATTGACGTTTCTATCCCTCTCCCTCTCCCTCTGAAATCAATAAAAATATATTTAAAAACAAACAAACAAACAAACAAACTGTGGTGTTAGAAGTCAGGACAGTGGTTCCCTTTAGGGAAATGGTAATTGGGAGGGTATTGGAAATTCTGTTTAACTTGGGTGGTGGCTATATTTACCTTGCGATAGCTCATTCAACTATATACTTAAGACTTGTGCCCTTTATGTATGTTTTATCAATAAAAGAGTTTATTTAAAAAATGTTTTGCTTGATATTGCACATCTAATAATGTGATCTGAGATTGAAGCCCTCTGATCTGTGACTCTACATTGCCTCCCCGATAGCTGCTAGTCTTTTTAACACTTCTTCTAGAAGTCAGGAAAGATTTATATATTCATTCTCAGAACAGCCACTTTTGACCAGGGACCCCAGAGAACCAGGGTGTTTTTTTTTGCTACCACAAAACCCAGGATGTTTTGTGGGATTGAGCCCATAACCCGGGGAGGGGGAGGGGGGGGAAGGGGGCATGTGCCCTGACCAGGAATCAAACCGTCACCCTCAACCACTGACCCGCATGGATCAGGCCACAGATTAGTTTTAAAGGCAAATTCTGAACTTCTCTTGGCCTGTTTCTTCATCTGTAACTTGGTGATAATACCTGCTCCATACACTAGCTATTCAATGAAATGCCAGGCCCTATGCCAAGTGTACGTGACTTCATTTAACACTCCATGTAACCTGATGGGTGGGTATCATCTTTACTCTGCAGAGGTTAAGTAATCTGTTCAAGCTGGGATTCGTGCTGGTCTGCCTGAAGCCTGTACTCTTAGAGGCCTGACCCTTGTCTAATTGATCCTAATTCTCTGAAAGGCTGGAAACTTAATTTTCAGAATGCTGCCAGGAAGAAGTCCAGAATTCTGAACTGCCTTCAGCCAGAGGATGTAAATATCCCTAATAACACCAGTGGGCCACACCTTTGTGAATGATCTGTACCAGCAGCTCAAAGGTTTTGATTTCTTGCATTGATTACACATACTTTTAAGTGTTCTGGCCCCTGAAATGACCCAAAAGAAGGAAATATGTAAAGATGCCAATGCATCCCTGACCAGTGTGGCTGGCTCAACCCTCAGTAGGGTACGTGCAGGAGGCAGCCAATCAATGATTCTCTCATCATTGATGTTTCTCTCTCCCTTTCCCTAAAAAACAATGGAAATATTTTTAAAAAAGAAAGATGCACATGCTTCCAGTACGAATCCTGGGTCAGGTGTAAGGACTCCCCACAGGTGCTTGCTGTCCCCATCCTGCGAGCTCTGACTGGTTCACTCAGCCTGTGGTTCCCACCCCTCCTTGTCCAATCCTTCGCCAAGGAGCTTCTGGTGTTGGCTGTAGCCCCTGGGAGGCAGAGGACAGAGACCTCTGTCACAGCACCCCCTTATTAAAAAAAAGGGGGAGGGGCCCTGGTACCTGGATGACTATTGACGAACAGTGACGCTGGGAGCAGGGTGGCACAGCCCGGAGTCTCTGCGATTCCCATGAGGCACAGCCTGGAAACTCTGTTAAGGACAGTCAAGTACAAGCTCTCCTCTGGGAGGAGAATGGGCATTAGTGCCCTTCAAAAAATTACAAAAATAACACCCGTAAAGCCAGATTTAACACATTCACATTTCCCATATTTAGTTTCAGATGTTATTAAAGGAAAAAGTGTCACAGACACAGCTAACAGCCCTCTCTGACCCTCCCGAGCCCAATTCTCCCTTTCCCTCACCCAGAAAGAAGCACTGTTCTAAAACTGGTCTGCGTTCTAGGCCATGTTATCCTTTCACAGCATATTTGTCCATGAGCGATAGAAAGAACTGTTACTGTTTTAAAAACATATGTAAACAGTATCACACAGATCAATCTCCATTGTCTTCTAGATTTATCAGTGTTGAGGTTTGTAGCCCCAGTTCCTTCATTTACACCATTTCTTTGTATAAATGCATCACAATTGATTTACTCGTCTTCTGCTGGGCACTTAGGTTGTTGTTTCTCTTTTTGCTCTTCTGCTAGAATGAGTGCCTTCCTGTCTCCCAGGCCCATGTGTGGGAGCCTTTTCTAAGGCAGTGTTTCTTAATCCCAGAGTAAGAATTTAATTTTATAGTTCTACATGCCATACACACACAAATATTTGAAATAAAAGTTTTATAAAATATTAGAGGCCCGGTGCACAAAATTCATACACTGGGCGGGGGGGGAAGGGGGTTTTCCCTCAGGCCAGCCTGTGCCCTCTCACAGTCCAGAGCCCTCTCCCAGTCCAGGACCCCTTGCTCCTTACCACCCGCCTGCTCACTGCTTCTTACCGCTCGGCTCGCTGCTCCTTAGCGCTGCTGTGGACTGTGCTAGCCAGCCCTTTGCCTGGCTTCTGGCTGAGTGGCGCTCCCCCTGTGTGACCTCTTACATTGAACGCCTGCCCCCTGGTGGTCAGTGTGCATCATAGCAACCAGTTGTTCTGTTATCAGTCAATTTGCATATTAGGGTTTTATTATATAGGATTTGCCCTTACTAAGTATGAAACTCATATTTTCTAGTCTATTTCACTTTAAAAATGCTGCTCACAAATTCCCTTCATAGCCCACTGACAGGCCATGACCTGCAGCTTGGAAGCTGCTCCTATGTCTATACCTAGAGTGGATGGGCCTGTGGGTTGTAAGGTTCTTGCATCCCCAACTTCCAACTTAAAGTGGTTATATCAATGCACTTATCCAGCACTGCTCCCCATTCTCCACATCTGTCAAATCTTGGCACTATCAGACTTTGAAAATTTGTGCTTATCTGAAAGGGTAAAAATCTTCCCATTATTTAAATTCGCATTTCCCTAACCATAACTGGGTGTACTGATTCACCTGATTAGTCATGTGGGTTTCCTTTTTGAACTGTCTCTTTATATTCATTGCCTACTTTTCTATTGTACTGTCTTCTGATCGATTTGGTTCCTCTCCCTTTCCCTTCACAGCCTAACTTCTCTCAATCAGAACCTACATTTATCCCCACTCCTTGCCTTTCTTTCACTCAACTCACTAAAATCCAGGTATGACACCTTTCCAGTAAATGTCCTCCCCAAGGTCTCCAATGAGCCCGTTTCTGAATCTGATGAACACCCTCCAGTCCTGTCCTGTGGTCATGCAGCACAACTTCTAACTACACACTCCTTGTTCTCCACACCACCTCTCTTGGAGTTCCATCTTTGGACTCTTCCAAACACCAACATGGCCTGGCCTGGGTCCCAAGCCTCTCAGACGCGTGCCTCTCCTCCACTCCTGCTCATCACTCACTCCCTCTCCACTGCCCGCTTAATCTTGCAGCAGCCTCTGTCTGAGGTCTCACCTTCGTCAGCCTGTATAAGAAATGACTCCATGATCACAGTCTTCCATGGGCATCCCACATCCCTGAGGATTCAGTCTTGCAAGGCCCTCCTTAGCCAGAGACATCATGGATACCCATGTGCATAGTCTCCTGACTCTTTCTCCTGATGGAGCACTGGCCCCTTCTTTCCATGTAGGAATCACCTCCAGGCAGGCTGACCCAATACCTGCACCCCTCTTACATCCAGCTGCAACACAGACATCACTACAGACTGATCACCTGTGGAGCTGCCCATCTCCAGCACTTTGCACAGGTATTGTATATGCTCAGTAGATGTTGGGGGAATGAACACACATACACACCACATCAAAAAATATAAATATTTGCAAAGCAATCAGGCAACATTTTTGGCAGTCTGTCTGATGCGTGTGTGTCATGTTGCCTTAGATAGTAAGTATCTCTAGTGTGGAGGGCAAGGATGTGGGGGAAAAGTCCTTACACATGCACTTTCAGTTACGTGGCTGAAACCCAGGTTACAGCCAAACTTTGGAATGACTTACAGGGCCAGAATTGTGGATTTAATCCTGTAACAGGCCACAGGTTAACAAAGAGCCTAGCAAGTGTAGAAGAGAATTTAGTTTAACCTTCCACCACTCTTTGGGGAAAATGCAGAATGCAGGTCTGAAAGGGTACCATTTTTGTAAAGGGAGCAAGCTCCATGTTTTGCAGCAGGAGCAGCAGGAGCAGCAGGTGCACAAATGCCTGAAGATTACCCGAGATGACCACCAGAGGGCAAGCCGCTGAGCAAGCTACAGACCATACTCTTCATACTCTTCAAACCAAATTACACGGATTTCTATCCTCTTCTCAGCCCACAGAAACATAAAAAAAATACCATACTGTGTTTAAATTTAAAAATGAGAGTGAGGTTGTTGTTTTCTCTCTCTCTTAAGGCTTGGTCTCTTCTGTCCTCTGGAAACATTATCACAGTCATAGATGGTGCCATCACCCCAAAAGAAAGCCACATAAAACTTTCAATTTACCAAACACACAGTTTTGTTTGTCTATGTAAAATTTATAATCAGATCTCTAATTTAGGCTCTAAAACCCTCTGAAACAGAGTCACTGTCATACATTTAAAAACAGGTTCAGATTCAGCCATCATTTGTTGAGGACCCACACATGCCAAGCACTGTACTAAGTGCATTCACAGATGTTAACTGTTAACCGCATGGCAACTCATGAAGTAGGTGTTGGGTACCAGTGGTCATCATTTTAATAACTCATTTATTATGGAAATGATTCAAGGCAAGACTCATTAACATGTGGCTTTGGCTTGGGGTCAAACAATATTCTTCTGTGAATCACATGTCGGACAGTTGTCCTATGCATTGAGAAACCCCATGGACCCCAGACGAAGGGCCCAGCTACCTTGACACTGCACTACTGTGCTTCCAGCAAAGAAGCCCTGATGGCTCTCTGGGAAGGCAGAGACTAGAATGAAGAGTGCTCCGAAGAAGGCCATCTCTGCAGAGACCCCAGGTCCAGAGCCCACAGGCCCATGCCGCATGCCAAAGGAACCCCCTTTCTCTGATGCCTGCCTCAGCCCCCACCCCCCAGGAGGCCCACCCCACCTCGGGACGACTGCAGCTCTTGCTTCTACCTCTGCTTCAGGAGGATTGGGGGTTCCTTCCCAAGATTTTACTGCTCCTTTCTCCTTTATTCTCCGCTAAAGTTCATAGTGACCTTAAAGCACCCCAGGACCTCAACTACTTCCCTGAGCATCATGGGAATCCTTGTCTTCTACCATGCGCAGTGCTCTTACTGAAAGAGTGAAGTATGTGCAGAATGGTCCGCACTTCTGACTTCTAAGATATCACTTTACAAACCCCACCAAACCTCTTCATCTGCCAAAAGATACAGAATGTGAGAATCCAAGTGATTCAGCGAGGCCCAGCACACAGAGTTCACCTGGTGAGGAAGCACATAGCAAGACGGAAACATTGGTCTGACCACCAACTCATGGAGAGAAACAGATTTTTTCTTGTGGAATAATGTGTGGGGATAGATCTCCCCTTTAAAAGGGGCTGGAACAAGCACTCTGAGAACAGGAAGCTCCTGTCCTAGAACATAGAGCCTTAAAGAGGAACAGGGAGGAGGTAGTGCGTAGGCCTTAGTCCTGCATGGGTCTCACAGTGAGACATCTGGTAAACCCTGTAGGGCAGGAATGACTTCTCTTCAATGGCAGGAAACACACCTAACTCTGAAGGCATACTGGATCTCACTTTACCCAGAAACCATTTCCAGATCTGAGGCTCATATCCCAAAGAACAGAAAGTCACAGCTTCTTACTGTATAGATGCAGCTGTCACCCCACTGCAGTTTAAAGGTTTCCCCTTAGACATCAAGCTTTTCACATTTATGTAAACCTCAGTGTCAGCCATAGACTGGCTGAGCGACTGACACATCGTCCTGACACTGGGAGGACCCTCCACCCCGGCTACTGCAGCCCACCTCCCAGGAACTATGTGCCTTGTGTGGGCTCCTTCGAACCAATTCTATCCTCTTGAAGGGAAGTCCGTACAACCAGCTAAAGAAGCACCACTTCAAGTCTTCCCACATCTAAATTCTTTTCTCTTTCAAGACAAGGAACTCCTGAGGCCCTTTCTTCCGCCATGGTTCTCAGGATCTACAACTCCATTTCTCCCTTGGGGAAATGAGGCACAGAGCGCTGGCTTCTTCCCAAAGTTCTCTCCTCTACTCTGACTTTGGCTAACCACTGCAGTGCCCCTGGGCCCAAAGGCAAGTGGGCCGCAAAGCTTAAGGGGAGGGCGGAGTACCTTCCGGTTGGTGAAGTAGAGGTTTTCGTGCATATGCACCCGGAGTGTGGGGGTCTTCAGACCGCGCAGGCTGATGATGCCGTACTTGGAGCCTCCAACCTTGACATCATTCACTGTGAAGAGCCGGTCACTGTTGGTATCCGCCTGGAAAGGGAAAGTGGCTTGTAGGTGACTTCGCAGGCCTAACACCATCTGCCCATCTCTCACAGCCCGCGTGTCTGCATATTCACCAGGCGAGAGCTCCTGTCCATGAGGGAGCGTGGAGATGACCTGAGGGGAACTCACTGCAAGAAAGTATTTAGGTCAAATGTCTCCCCAAACACATATGGGGGGAGTGAGTCCTGGCCCCTGACACCCTTATGAGAAAGGGCTCTGCTATCGAGGTCTCCTGGGGCAAGATGTCAAGGGTCAATTCTGCAGCTTCAGCCCATAGTCCTGTCAGCAGATCATCAGGCTGAGGCTCTTT